GCCCAAAACTGAACACAGTACTCGAGGTGAGGCCTCACCAGTGCCCAGTACAGAGGCAGAATGACTTCCCTACTCAATGAGAATGAGGGATAATGAGAATCCCTACAGGAATCAGTGGTTTTACATGTCGGATTATTAATATTTTGGATGGTGTTTTGCAAGGAGATGGTGGTGGTTATACAGAAAATGCCCCAAATCACTCGCAGCCCTCCCTTCCCCATCGGGGAGCCCTCGCAAGTTGTGAAGGGCTAGTGTTTGGGCACAGAAAACCAAGGGCTTTTGGAGTTAAGGCTTCACTGGGCTTCCTTTCCAAAGCAGTTGCCTGTGATGCGTAACGGCGCTTTGGCCCTTGGCGGTTATTTTTAGAAAAGGTCTATTGAATTATTAAGCTGGGCAGGGCTGCAGGTTGCAGTGAGGCAGGAGACATGGTATATGTTTGGCTGTTTAATTGTCTCTCCTTCCTCATTATGTTTAATCTCTGCGGGTGGTGGCTGGAAAATAATGGAGGGCACGGAATCCTGTCTTTCCTGTGAATACCCCGCGTGTTGGAGAAGGCTTTTGAGGTGCAGAGAGCTTCTGCCAAGGAGGACAGTGTATTTCCCCGTGTCGGTGTTATTTTATAAGCAGGGTTTGAAGCCCAAATGGCCCCGCGTTGCGCTGGAAAAAAATGGATAAAAACTTAGACCAACCCAGGGAGGGAAACTGGAGGCTGCTGATGGTGAGAGCTCTGCAGCGGAGCTGGGGGCAGGAGGGCCACCTTCTCTTCTCTTCTCTTCTCTTCTCTTCTCTTCTCTTCTCTTCTCTTCTCTTCTCTTCTCTTCTCTTCTCTTCTCTTCTCTTCTCTCTTCTCTCTTCTCTTCCTTTCTCCTTTTTCTTTTCTTTTCTTTCACTGGAATAAATGCATAAAATCAGGAGCAGCCATGCTCTGGCTGTTTGCATGGGGCGGGCAGGTCAGAGCCCAGGTGCAGCACGCGGAAGGCAGGAAAAAAAGCATGATGGAAAAACACTTTGCACGGGTTTGGGAGAGAGAAGGTGGTTATTTTTAACCCGAGGAGGAGGCGGTGGTTATAAAAGCCATTGTCCTAACAACCTGCTGGAGCAGAAGGGCAGGATTTTTCGAGGGAATCTTTTCTCACAAGGAAATTGGAACCGAGTGCTGTGATTTTTCAATAAGGCATTTGCGGTTGGTCGTATTCACAACACCCTGTTCCCTGCTGGGAGCAAAATTAGAAAGACCTTCCCATCTACCAGTTCTTTTCAAATTTGACTGTGTGTGTGTTTATGGAGAGATACCTAAAAAAGCTTTACCTACCCTGCCATACATCCAGCTTTGGGTGCCTGCAGGAGCGTTGCTGGCAGAGTGAGCTGATGCTACAGGACACCCCGGGTCAACTCGTTATCCTGAGCATCTCTCCGATGCCCATTGTGGAATTGAAGTGGGTTTCCAAGTGAGAAGCAAGATGCTGGGTTCCCCAGGAAGGCAGGACCCCAGCCCTTCTGCCTCCCAGCCACAAAAAGGGGGCCATTGGGAAAGTTTCCCCTCCAGAAAGAAAATTAGTCGTGGTGGAAGAACTTTGGGTGTTTTATTGTGTGAAATACTCTGTGCTTTTCCATTTGCTCTGTGAGCCTCAGAAGTGCTGCAGCACTTGGAAGGGTTAAAAAAAAATAATAATTTAAAAAGTAGTTTCAGACCTTTAGAAGTTCTTCAGTGGTGTGCAGTCAGGATGCCATCTGGGCTTCTGCCAGCTGGTCAGATGGATGGCTGCTCCTGCTCTCTGAGGCGCTGACTCCGGATATTTCACAGACCTGTCACTGGGGTCTTTTATTAGGATTATTATTATTTCCCTTCTCTTTTTCTGAATCATCACTTTGTTTCTTCCTTGCTCCTGACCCCTCTTTCAGGTCAGATTCTCAGTGTGAGAAGGCTGCAAGCCCTCCCTGAGATGTTTGTCTATGGAAAGGAGAAAGCCTTGCAGAGGCTTGGTTGGGGTGCAGATCCCTGACCCTACCTGAGATCCAACCCAAGATCCTTATGGAAAAGTGTGACTTTGCCCAGCAGCAAGCCTTTAACTGGCACCCTGCCTGGTCTGCAGCCTTCTCTCCTGCTTTGCAGTCACAAGGTTGTATTTTCCCCAGTTGAGGTGCTTTTTTGTCCTCCACAGTTTCATACCCTGCAGGAGAAAATGGCTCTGGAGCCCCGCTCTTGGCCAGGATTTCTGCTGGTGGTAGAGGCTTGTGCTGCCCCCAGCAAAATTGGATGTGGGAGATGCAAGGACTTTTTTTTTCCCATTCCTACGCAAGGAGTAGTAATGAGGGAGTCCATCTGTGGTGGGGACGTGAGTAAATGGTGGGACCAGCCCATAGCTGGCTCTGAAGGCATTCAGGTTGCAAGCACCCTGCCAAGTGCTTTGTCACTGGGCAAAAACCACCCCTGGTGCTCAGAGCTCAGCCCTCTCCAAGGCAGTTGTGGTTCTCCAGAGGAGCCAGTGCTGTCCCATGCCTGTCCTCTCGCCACAGGGAGTCCTGGAGGGGTTGGGCTGCAGGGCATTCCAGCCATCTCCTCCCTCCTGCCATGGAGAGGGACTTGAAGGTGCTTTTCTGCTATTGTGGTTCAGAGCTGGGGGTGTCTATCAAGTGTAGCCTGCACTCCTAAGGTGTCTTGAAGATGGCGTGCCTTGAAGATGGCTTGCCTTGAAGATGGCGTGTCTTCAAGATGGTGTATCTTGAAGACATGGAAGTGTCTTGAAGATGGCTTTTGCTGCTTTTTATTTGAAGGCATGGCTCACAGGCATTCAGTTTCTCTTGCACCATTTGATGTAGCTGGGGGAAGGAAGGGATAAACTCCTGGGTCCCATCCCCTTCCCGGAGCTTTCTGACACTATTAGAGACTTTGCTCTGAGACCTTCCACAGAAACTGCCCATCCTCCTCTGTCCTTCAACACTGCCGGGCTCCTGGCTTCCAGAGAAGACCAGCTGCCGGTCACACCACCTCCCACTCCTTTCCCAGAGGAGGCAGTCCCCTTCCCGGCAGGGACTTATCTGCTCTGGTGTTGGCTTTTTGCCTTTTTGTCTTTGGTCCTAAGAGCTTGCCTTTGGACTCTGAGCCATCGGGGCATGGCCTCAAGAGGCAAACAAGGGGCAAACAAACTTCTTGGGAAGGAACAATGGCATTTGCTCCATCGTTTCCGTCAGCCTGCCATGTCCTGGCACCAGGGTTTGTCACCTTCTGCTTTGTACTTCTGGATCTTCTGCTGATGGTTTGGTTTCTGCAGAAAGTGCAAGGGCCCAAGGGGTGGAAATGCAGGCTCCTGGGTGTGAGGCTTGGCAGGAGATTGCTTTTCTGAAGACTTGTAAACCGTGGTTATGTCTCCAGCTGGTGGAAAGCTGCCGGCATTGAGCTGCTCTTGGTCTGGACAGCTGGGTGTTTGGCCCTTAACAGCTCTGTGCGTGTTGGCCAAGGGAGGTTTTTTACTGGGAAGCCTAGAAAGAGCTTGAATTCACTGGTAACATTTATCAGCAGAGGTGTAACAGACTGATCATGTCTGCATGGTTTTCTGTTACCTTGGCTATTAAACTGCACCGCAGACATTTATGGAGTTGGCTGGCTCTTGGGAAGACATTTATGGAGTTGGCTGGCTCTTGGGAAGCCTAAAAAAATGAAGAGCCTGGCTCTAGGGGACACTCTCATTGAGTCTAAATAAGCACAGGTCCCAGAGAGTCTGTGGTCACCGCTTCTAATGGGAAGTCACGATCCTGCGTGCATTTATCTAACCCGAATATTTTTCCCTTCCTGCAGAGACAACGATTTTGACTACCTGGAGTTCCGACTCTGGATCGGCCTTTGGTCAGCCTTCCAGTGTCTCATTCTCGTCGCCACCGATGCCAGCTTCCTGGTCAAGTACTTCACCCGCTTCACCGAAGAAGGTTTCTCCTCCCTTATTAGCTTCATCTTCATTTACGACGCTTTCAAGAAGATGATCAAGCTGGCAGACCATTACCCCATCAACTCGGAGTTCAAGGTGGACCATATCACGCATTACTCTTGTGCCTGTGAACCGTTAGATCCAGGTAAGAGAGTGTTTAATTAGCTCCTCTCCAATTTGCAGATAGGAGGCTGCATTTTCTTTCTTTTTCTATTGTGCTGTGGCCCAGATAGGAAATTGATCCTTCTTCAGATATCCTGTCTTAGCCTTATTTTGAAGCTGAGGGGTGAATTTCACCCTACGTGTCAACTGGGATATCTTTATAGTCAACATTCCTGGGATTCCTCCATGTGATCATCACTACCAGTGGAGAGCTGTCTCTGTCCCCTGGTCTCCTTGCACCCCCATGGCTGTTAATTCTGAGTGGCCTTCCTCTGAGAAGGGGGTGCAGGGACAGAAGTGGTGGCCATGGTCACTGCCACGGTGCTCGGGTGACTCCTGGTACCCGCCGTGTCACTTTCTCAAGTGCAGGAGCTGGGTTTATTCAGGGCGTCACCCAGATGTGGGTGGTTTTCCACCTCCTGGCTGAGGTGTATGAATGGAAAAGCACAAACAGTCCCTGGCTGGAGCGGAAGGGAAGCGTATCCAGCAGTTCAGCCTTATCACCAGAGCGTGGGCTGCAAGGCAGGTAGAGCCACCAGACTATGGATCCGGCAATGCAACCGGGAACAAAAGGTCACCAAACCCCAAATACAAAGAGAAATGCGCTGGCTGGCACCATCAGGGAAGCTGTGGCCACTCCTAGGATCCCTCAGACAATGGGGAGTGAGTAAGAAACTTGGTCTGTGCTCAAAGCAAACTTCAGGTTATCTGGACATACCTGTCAAACAGGAAAAGCTTCTGGTTGCTGGTACCTGCCTCGGTGCAAAAGGTTTCAGGGACCGAATCTCTAGGAGCTGGGTGCCTACGTTAGAAACATAGAATTTCCTACGTTGTAAGGGACCTTTCAGATCATCTAGTCCAACCATCAATTTGTCCAACCATCAATTTGTCCAACCATCAGTTTGTCCAGCCTTCAAATTACTGAATGTAGGATCTCTGCAAGGATGTCTGTCTGGTTCTGCTTCTTGAGATGAGATGTGGGGCAGAACTTGTTTGGTGGGAGGGTGGTGAGAGCCTGGCCCAGGTTGCCCAGAGAAGCTGTGGCTGCCCCATCCCTGGAGGGGTTGAAGGGCAGGTTGGAGGGGGCTTGGAGCAACCTGGGCTGGTGGGAGGTGTCCCTGCCCAGGGCAGGGGGTGGCACTGGATGGGCTTTAAGGTCTATTCCCACCCAAACCATTCTATGATTCTATGAAAATCCAGGCTGTGGATTTTACTCATCAAAGATGTCCTACACATACAGATGTCCCACTACTTATTTAGACCCTTGTGTGAGTTCATTAGTGTAAGAGACAAATGCACTTATTGTCTCTCCAGCTAAACAGATGTGAGCTGTGCGATACTTTAATACAACTTAAATATTCTCATCAGACATAAGAGTACATGCAAAACCTGAATAAAACATGAGGACATGGTTGACAAGCCTATTTTCAGGAAGGATTGCATTTCTAAAAGAAATTGCAAATAAATTATTTATCGCCCCATGAAAACAAAAAGAAAACACGTATCGTTGTCACAGTGAACGCTGCCCCGTTTTTCAAGGAAATTATCTCCATCCTGCTCACTCCAATTACTCTTCAGCTTTTTTTTTTTTTTTTTAGCTCAAAAAATGTGTTTGTGCTGGATTCTGAAATTCATTTTGCTTTTCTGGATATCTTTGGAGTTGTGCGTTAATTTTAAATTAGTATTAATATTATTAATATTATATAGTATTATAAGTATTATATAGTATTAATAATTAATTTTAAATTAGTATTAATAATAATTAAGTGTGTTCTGTGGGTATTTATTTTAACCCAGAAGTCATTAGAAAAATATCGCAAAACCATGAAATATTTTATTGTCTGTCTGCTTTTCTACATTTTTTTTTGCAATGGACTCCAAAAAAAACCCAGTTAGGTTTGGATTATGTTTCACTGAGCCTTTTCTTTCTGGTTTGTTTTTTTTTTTAAAGTGGTTGATGCTTTTGAGTCAGTCTGAAAGGGTACTTTTGACTCGCTGTAAAGTTTGATGGAGCTAAGAAATGATTTAATAGTTGAAATTTCCTTTTCCTTCCTTGCCCCCTGCTCACGGTACTGCTTTTTCTGTCCTCTCTTGCAGTTAATAGCTCGTTATTTAACGGGACGACGGCCGATGAGCTCTTCTACTCCTCTGCTGAGCCGGTGAGTGCCCTTTGGGAGGAGGGGGATTATCTGCCCTCGGGAAGGGCTGTACGTGCCCTGCCTTTCTGCTGGGCTCTGCCAGAGGATCAGGGGTTCATCCCACGGAGGAAAACCCTCCCACAGACACCGTAAAAAACGTGACACTGCCCCTTTTGGCACCTCCACTTGATCCTCCAAGGATTTCTCCTAGTCCTGTGTATGGAATACTGAATTTCACTGAATTTTCACTGAATTTCTAGAGTTGGAAGGGACCATAGAGATCATCTAGTCCAACTCCCCTGCTGAAGCAGGATTGCCCAGAGCTAGAGCATGTTGCTCAGGACTGCATCCAGGCGGGTTCTGAAAATCTCCAAAGAAGGGGACTCCACACCCTCCCTGGGCAGCCTGTTCCAGGGCTCTGCCACCCTCACCGTGAAGAAGTTTCTCCTCATATTTGAGTGGAACCTCTTATGTTCCAACTTGTGCCCGTTGCCCCTCGTCCTCTCGGTGGGAACCGCTGAAAAGAGTCTGGCTCCCTCCTCCTTCAACCCTCCCTTGAGATACTTGTCGGCATTGAGAAGGTCTCCCCTCAGCCTTCTCTTCTCCAGACTAAAGAGTCCCAGCTCTCTCAGTCTCTCCTCATAAGGGAGATGCTCCAATCCTTGAATCATCTTTGTAGCCCTACGCTGGACTCTTTCCAGTAGTTCCCTGTCCCTCTTGAACTGGGGAGCCCAGAACTGGACACAGTACTCCAGTTGTGGCCTCACCAGTGCAGAGTAGAGGGGGAGAATGACTTCCCTTGACCTGCTGGCTACACTCTTCCCTATACAACCCAAGATACCATTGGCCTTCCTGGCCGCAAGAGCACACTGTTTACTCATTGTCATTTTACTGTCCACCAGGACCCCTAGATCTTTCTCTTCAGTAGTTCAGTTTGGTAATATCAATTACTTGCTAATCATGGCCACTTTCTCGCAGTTTGATCTCTGTGTGTTGGCAGGATGCAGAAGGTTCTCCCAGGGGATCCTTGTGTCCAAGGGCTGTAATAGTAGAAGTGTTGTGGCCACTTTGCCCTTTGGAAGGTCCCATTTCCAGCCCATTCTTTGATTTTCATAGAATCATAGAATGGTTTGAGTTGGAAAGGACCTTAAAGCCCATCCAGTGCCACCCCCTGCCCTGGGCAGGGCCACCTCCCACCAGCCCAGGTTCCTCCAAGTCCCCTCCAACCTGGCCTTGTTGCTAACTCTGGCTTTTCCACACCTCACTCCGGTGTTGAGCTTTCGAGGATGAAGAGAAAGAAATGGAGCTTGACAGGGTCAGAAACGTTTGTGTTTGATGCAGGGTTGAGTTGTTGTGTTGAGAGTAACAATATTCTGCTGCAGAATGCAGATCCTACCTGCCTGTGCTTCTTTTCAAGTGGTGGCCACTCTTGTGTGGCATCAAGTGGCCCAACAGGAAAGGAATGGTTTCTGAGCTGTGCACTGTTTGCAGGCACTAGGAGCCTGAGACACCAACCTGAAGTCCAAGAGCGTTGCCCAAGGTGCCCAAGGGGGTTGGTCACAGGGTGAAGAAATAGCAGTGAGGTCTCCTGATGGCCAGGCTGCACCTCATGTCCCCGTTACTGCTACTTGGCCACCTCCATTGGCTGGCTGTGGTCCCTGAGCATCTGAGTTGGCTGCCTCTGGAAGGGCTGGAGAGGAAGGTCTCCTTCTTCAGCAGAAAATAACTCCTGGGGAAGTGCTGGGCAGCCCCCAGCTCCAATACAACCTGGCTCTGGGAAGAGGAGTGCCCATTGATGGTTCTGTTCTGTTAAGAACGATTCTTCTTGGGTTTTGTGGGTTTAGCATTTGATGGTCAATCTTGGGAGAAGAGGAAGGCCAAGAATAGGGAATATCATCCTCTGTCCAGGTTAAAGCCCATTCTACCCACGCACAAGGATTTGTAGCCTCTGCTCTGTCCCTCCCTTTTCCTCCCAGTGTTTTCCCTGGTGCCCCATCCTCGTTCCTGTCCTAGCACCAGCAGCGTTGGCATGAGTGCAGCGTCCAGAGAAGGGCGACAAAGCTGGTGAGGGGTCTGGAGCACAAGTCTCATGAGGAGAGGCTGAGGGAACTGGGGTTATTCAGCCTGGAGAAGAGGAGGCTGAGGGGAGACCTTCTTGCTCTCTCCAACTCCCTGAAAGGAGGGGGTAGAGAGATGGGGGTCGGTCTCTTTTCTCAAGTCACAGGCGACAGGACAAGAGGAAATGGCCTCAAGTTACGCCAGGGGAGGTTCAGGCTGGATATTAGGAAAAATTTTTTCACTGAAAGGGTTCTCAGCCATTGGAATGGGCTGCCCAGGGAGGTGGTTGAGGCCCCATCCCTGGAGGTGTTCAAAAGACAGGTTGATGTAGTGCTGGGAGGTATGGTTTAGTGATGGTGATGCTCCTTGTTTGTTGTGTGGGTGTCTATTTTTGTCAGTTAGGTTGACGGTTGGACAAGATGATCTTTAAGGTCCCTTCCAACCTAGAAGATTCTGTGATTCTGTGCTATTTTTGTCAGTTAGGTTGACGGTTGGACAAGATGATCTTTAAGGTCCCTTCCAACCTAGAAGATTCTGTGATGGCAATGTTCTCTGCTTCTTCCTGCAGTACAACACCACCATTGACTGGTCCTCTCTGACAACAAAGGAGTGCTTGAAATACGGGGGACAACTTGTGGGCAACAACTGCGGCTACGTCCCTGACATCACCCTCATGTCTTTCATCCTCTTCTTTGGCACTTACACCTGCTCCATGGCCCTGAAGAAATTCAAGACCAGTCGCTATTTTCCAACCACGGTGAGTGTTTCCTTTCACCCTCGCAGCCTGTTTCTTTCCTCTCCCACCGCACAAAGATCAGCCCTCCCCTGCAGAGGGAGAAGCACTTCACAGGGAAGGCAGCTTGATTTGGTCGAGATAAAAATGTGGTTAATTAAGGTGTGTCTTGGGGTGGCTTCTCGGTGTTTCTGGAGGGCAGGGGTAAAGCAGCAGAAGAGCCAAAATGAGCCCGTCATGAGAATTTGGCAGTGATTTTAAAGGTGCTGACAACAACACTTCCAAGCTGAGATATGCAATTGATGTAGTTTATCAGCCTTAAGAAATTGGAAGAGGGGTCCTTCAGGCATAAATATAAATATATATATATAGCATCAGCTGGGCATCCTCAGCATCAGATCCACAGCTTAATGGGATGTAGTGACTCTGGGGTAGGATGCGGGGACATCCTACAGAGCTCCAATGACCAAAAGGGGCTATTAATCATTATGTCAAAAGTCTCCTTACAGCTTATAGCCAGAGGAAGCATTTGGGGAAGATAAAAGAAGTCCTTCGCTTTGCCACTGAGTAAAAGTGGGTAAAAAAGATGTCTGTGTAGAACGGGAGAGCAGAGATGCTTGTTTGGTGTTACCACTTTGAAATACTCGGAAATCAGTCCCAAAATGTTGAACTCGACTACAGCCCGTGCCTGTAGGTCCCTGTTACTGTAGGGACCTAAAGCAGAAATTCCCTTTCTTCTCTGAGGATCAGACACCAAATAAAGGATGAGCTGAAAAACCTCTGCGTGGATTTAAACCCGATTTTGCTCAGACTTACAGCCAATTTACACACACCTCCCAGGGGAATCTGCGTGTTTTGTCTCCACAACTAAAGTTGCCACCACACGTGTGCGAGCAGGAGGTTTCCATATGTACCAAAGCCCTGTTTCTCTCTGAAACCTGTCCCCCCACCCCCTGTTTTTGGCATCCTGACACAGGGGGATTTATCCTGCATGGATGTTTACTGTTTTGCTGTGTTACAGTTTAACCTCTCTTATTTTTAATAAAAAAGAAACAAATTCCATCCGGGCTGGAATGCGGCTCAATTTATTGGTAACCATGTGAACCCGGGAAGCCTGGAAGGAACAACAGCTTTGAAAAGATCCCACAGTTACAGAGAAGCACAGTGGGTCCTGCCCAGTTAAATTTTGGGGTCTGACCAGTGGCAGCTTTAAGTTGTTCTGTTCCAGTGACTTCAGGAGAGTTGCACTCTTAGGGTGTGTTGAGGATTTCACTGAAAACCCTCATTTCTTTCCCTGTCTGTTAAGATTGATTTATTATTTGAACAGAAAACAGTGTAATCTCCACCAGTCTTACAAAATGGCTCATCTGTTGTGGAACTTTGGGTCTTCTTGTCTTCTAAAGGGAACTTTCTTCCCATCTTCTTAAGGGAATAACTTTTTTGTGTTGTCTGGTGTAAAATACCATTTCTTCCCTTTTACTAATCTGCGTTGCAGTGTCAGTCATATTAAAAGAATGGAGTCTGGGGATAACATGGTATTTTTTGTTAAAGCCTCATACCTTGGGAATCCTGTGATAACACGAGAAGCTCGATTGTGCCAAAAAATCCATCTCTGGCCTTGTGTAGAAAAACATGAATATGTGGGCCCTAAAGAATCAGAGATCAGAAGGCAAGCAGAAGGAAACAGTATATTATATTATTTTATATGTCTTAAAAAGTTACTTTTAGGTTTTTTTGTAAATGTTTGGTATCTGTTACTATTAGAAGCTGAACCTGAAAAGTCTCTTCAGGCAGAAGAGCTAGGTCTCCATGCCAGTGGTTGGTGGCTGCTGTCGAACACAACAGCAGTGAGACTGCCTTGAAGAATTCATGTGGGAGTTCCTTAGAATAGCAGTTTTCTCTTTCCTTAGCCTTGTTTTCATACTTCCATTTGGGCTTAATTGTCTGGCTTTCAGACAAGGCAGTAAAGTATATTTAGGCACATTTAGGCAAGTGGTGTCGGGCGTGACAATGTGCACTTTTGTTTCCACAAAGAAAGAAGAAAGGATGAGCCTGTATTGCCACCAAACGCAAGCCTGGGGTATCACGTAGGAGCTGAAGCCTGGGTGAAATGGTCTTTCATGGCACTAACTACTGTTTTGATATCAACTCCCCTTTCAGGCCCGGAAGCTCATCAGTGACTTTGCCATTATCTTGTCCATTTTGATTTTCTGTGGAATAGATGCCCTGGTAGGTGTGGACACACCAAAACTAATTGTGCCAAGTGAATTCAAGGTACGTCATTGTCGGCTTTGTTTGGTGGTCTTTGGAAGAGGTTCCCTTTTCCACCCATCTGCCCTGTATAAACTGACTTTCCTGCAAAACAGGAGAGTAGTCAGCTATCTTACTTTTATTAGCATTATTTGGGTTGGTTGACTTATCTCCTAAATCCTGCCTCCATGCTTTGAACCTTTTGTACCTGTGAACGGGAAGGGTGAAATGGTCCCTAACCTTAAGTGTCCCCCCATAGCCCTGTTGCTGGAAGTACAAGTGTGTTTGTGATGTCATCACTCCTATATTGTCATTGTAATGCAAGTTTTCCTTTCCTTGCCCTTAAAAGCCAACCAGTCCCGAGAGGGGTTGGTTTATCCCACCTTTTGGAGGGAACCCGTGGTGGGTGTACCTGGCAGCGGCCATCCCTGCACTGCTGGTGACTATCCTCATCTTCATGGACCAGCAAATCACAGCCGTCATCGTCAACAGGAAGGAGCACAAGCTCAAGGTGGGTGCATGTCATGTCTTGAAGGAGGACAAAGAGCTGCCCAGTTCTTTTTCTGTGCTAGAGATAGAGGAGGGCCCGTGGCGGTGTTGAACATAGATGCCACCTCAGAAACGTCATTGCTGGTGTTTAACAACAATATTGATTTTGTTGACTACTGTAGAGTTTTTTGCCAGGATAACCACTGATTCAGTTGAAAATCTTGAGCGTTGGACAAACAGCATTTGCCTTCCTCCTAAAGGACGAGCCCCGTGCGGGGCCAACTCGCGATGTCTCCTTCAGTAAGCACTTCCTAATTTTGGTTGGCTTCACTGTCGTGCGGCCTGAAGCGATCCCACATGAGAAGCTTTGGGATTGCTCCTCCCTTTTCCTTTGCAAACAGGTCCCATGCCAGGAATAGTCAGATTTCACAAAACCAGCCAGCTACCCCTTCTCTTCCAGGGGAAGGAAAGGACTTGGAGCCATTGCATCCTACCCCCTGCTCTTAGAATCATCTAGGTTGGAATGGACCTTTAAGATCATCAAGTCCAACCATCAGCCTAACATTGCCAAAACCACCACTAAACTGTGTGACTAGAGCCAGAAGAAATTAGAGCAGCCCTCCTTTGAGAGGCAGAATTTTTGTTTAAAGCCTCTTTTCCTATCAACATGAACCCATAAATTTTCTTAAAATTGTCATAATATTTTGCTCTTTCCTTGCAAGACCTTCAGTCTCCAGCTGCAAACATTGGAGGATGGCAAAGGAAACTTCTAAGTATTGCCTAGGAAAGAGGGTCTGCATCTATCCACAAACATAGTTATCTGCTTGTCCACTTAACACATCTTCTGCTTTTCAACAAGAGATAAGAAATCATTAAGTTAAACACAGTCAGAAACTGCAATGTCTGTCATTCCTGATCTTTGCTGGCATAGGGTAAACTCATGCTCTCCACTATGCCCAGCAAATACGGTTTTACATACTACCAAAACTGTCCATTCCTTTAAAACAAGTCTCCGAGTCCGTTGCTCAGGAACCCTGAGGAAGAGTAGGGTGCTTCCCGGTGAGGAGGCCTGGCAGATGTTCTTTCTGGTGTTATTTTCAGCAAGGTGTTCAGGAAGAGGACCAGGGCCAGCAGAAGGGTCTGATGGCTCGCTGCCTCACAGCTGGTGTGAAAAAACCCTGGGTTTTGGTAGTGCTGGTGCTTCCAAGTGGCCGTTCACTTCACAGACCCTAGTCCTCTAGGGAGAGCAGTCCCAGACTCAAGTCCAGCTAACTCAGACCTCTCCTCTAGCACCAAAAGACTCTCAACATCTGTTTTTCCTCCTACCACCTTCCTCCCTCAAAGACACGGGCCTATTCCCTATCATCTGCTGCTGTTTATGAGCTAAGGTTGCTTTGTGATTATGGTCACCTTTCCTCCTGCCATAGGCTATAAGGGGAGACTTAATGAATCTGCTGCACTATAATGGAAAGGAAAGCGAAGGTGGCAGGAGTGGGTCCACCGTGGATCTGCAGAAAATGCCTGGTTTTGGGTGCTTGAGCTCTCAGTGGGGAGAGTTTGTGGGGCAGGTTGTTGGAAGCAGGTTTTGGGGCACCAGGATGATGCCAGGACCCCTCCTGTGGTGGCCATGGCCAGAGATGGCCCAAGTATGACAGCTGCGTTGGCCGTACCATGCTGGAAAATACTAGCAATAAGCCGAAGAGATTTGGGACATACCAAGGGCATAGCCACAGTTGGATGTTATTTAAAGAAGAGCTTTATATCCGCTGACATATAACAGCCTAGGATGGAGTAATGTTTTTAAAATAAACTTTCCAGACCGACGCTATGCAGGTTTTCATGCCTGTAGGGTTTTTCCTTTCCCTGCACGGTCAGTTCTATTGAAAAATATTAAATTCCTGTAAAAGGAGACTCTCCCTTCCTGCTAATGAGACATGTTTGAAGTGGTCTAACCCGTGAGAGGAAAGACTCCCTCAAAACATGGGTAGTGCTGGGTCATTATTTAGGTACCTATTGAGATATAAAGGAGAGCTGTTGGAAATGTGAATGGAGCTTTCACTAGAAAAAGAGGAGGATGTTTCAATTCATGTGGTCACTGTGGACATGAGACAACTGACATGTGATTTTAGACTGTCCTGAGCCTGACCTGGAGGAGAAAGTCAGAGTAGCAGGGGATGGGATTTGTTGTGCTCAGTGATGAGTGCTGGGTGATGGTTTATGGCACTGGGGTCAAAAAAACAACCCAGAACATCACTTTTTTGCCATATGGATCAGGGCAGATAAATTCAATACTGTGCTCACATCTTCCTCAGGGGGAGGCTAATCATTGACACCATCTCAGTTTTGGGTCTGTCTCCTGCACCTAACTGAGCAGACGTAGCAATTTCTTAATTGCTGGAAGAATATATTCACTTTTCTTGCCCCATGAAAAGGAGGCCCCTCATCTCTTCGGCTTATAGACACTGAACATGGTTGTGGTATCAGCAGTGGATGTATTTTTTTAGTAATGAAGTATAAACACTCCAGCAAAGTACTGTTTAATATAAAAAATGTATTTCCTGCTTCCTTTGTTATGGTTGTGAGCATGTGCTCACAGGACAAGTAGGACAGGAGGAAATGGGCACAAACTGGAACATGGGAAGTTCCATCTCACCATGAGGAGGAACTTGTTTGGTGTGAGGGTGGCAGAGCCCTGGCAGAGGCTGCCCAGAGAGGTGGTGGAGTCTCCTTCTCTGGAGACATTCCAAACCCACCTGGACACGTTCCTGTGGGACCTGCTGTGGGTGGGGGAGGGGGTTGGAGGAGATCATCTCCAGAGGTCCCTTCCAACCCCATAGCATTCTGTGATTCTGTGATTTGGGATTCTCGACCCTGATCCTGCTCCTCTGCACCAAAAACCACCTCCATACACAAAATCTAGTGTAGGCCAGAAGAAGGATGAGGTTTTTTTCTTGCTGGTGCCTGGCTAAAGTGTGGGCAGGGTGTCACTGGGTGTCCATCCCCATGCTGCAGGCCAGCCAAGGTAAGCAGCACGCCCATGAGGAGGGAAACAATGAGGTCTATTCAAGAGGAGCTGGGTTGCTTTCCCTCCTGGGTCACCGAGGAGGTCTGGATCATTTGTTCTTTCCAATAAAATCAAATTGAACAAGATTAAAAAAAGGTTAATCTTCTTTAAAATAGCAAACCTTGGAGATTTGTCTAGTGTTTTTCTGAAGATCCCTTTCTTTGGTGGCTCTTTTGTTTCTTCACTTCTTCTCTTGGCACTTGTGGATTTCCTGTGTTAGTTCATTAAAAGATTTTAAAAAGAGAAGATCAGAGGCCTTTAAGAAGGAGGAAAGAATGAGGGCAGCTTTCTCCTTTCCATAGGGTATGAGCCCATCAGCTGTTCTTGCTGCTTCCTCCAAGAGACCCTAGGAGTGGGTGTTGAGGAAGGTACCTCCACCACCAGTAGGGCTTAAACCAGTTGTGAGGTCCCAACCGTGAGATTCCACAGTTGCTTTTTATCCAAAATACAGGAGTTCATCCCTCCCTCTGAGACAGCAAACGATACCTTTAGGCGGGCACCCTATGTCTGGGAGATTGCTTTCAGGTAGACTTCCATCAAGTCCTTACACTGAGAGGTATTTTACAACAGCTGCTTAAAACTAAGAGTAGGCTTTGGGCTGGTTTTAAAGGCTGGTTTGGGTGTGTAAAGCTCTGTGCTTGTCCAAGCTGTCGCTTACACTGATAGGAGATGACTTGGCACCCAAAGGTACCCACTTTGGCCTCCCACCATGGCAGAAGCAGTCCTGTAGCAGACCAGAAGGACAAATGGTGGCTCCCACAGTCGAAAACCACTCTCCTGCTTTGCAGACCATCTTCCATCCACTCGCCCTCTTCAAACTCTCCTCCTGCCCTGTCTTGTGCTGTGAAAACGGGCCATTGGGTTTTCGTACGTGCTGTAGGGAGGCAGCAGAAGATGGGATGGTGCTGGGCATTGGATTGCTTGACACTGCAGTACCTCGTTCAAAATTAGGAACATATTATAAAAATAGCACTTCATAATGGGATTTCATTTTTTGGTTGTTAAGAGGCGATGCAGAGCTCCTTCAGAACACTATAAAGCCATTATAGCCAACACAGTTGGCTCTGTGTGTGTGTATATATATATTTTAAAAATATAGAGAAATATATATTGAGAGTTTGCTTGTTGACAAGATATGATGTGTATCTCACCAAATATTTTTTGGTGAAGGTGGTGATTGTCTCTGATTGTCTCTAACTCATGATCTGTTATCTCCAGTGCCTCTTGGACTGGTTGCAGGGCTTGACTTGTACCAGCTTGACCTCCAAGCACTACATAGTGTTCACAAGGTGCTTGGTCTCCTGCCAGGCTGCTTGAAGGTCTGCTGCTCTCCTGTCCTTACTGCATGCTCTTGTTTTCAGAGCTTGGCAGAACTGTAATATTTACCTACTTTCCCTGCATAGGTGGGTAATTCATCGTTTAAGGATCAATGTGTCCAACTCTGCTATTTCTTATGACAACTCCTGATGGCCAAAAGATGCTGTAGAAGCTCCTTGCTTGGTCTGCCTCTGTCCCTGAGGCAGAGCCTTGGCCATTCTGTAGGTGTTTGGAATAATTAAGCTGAAGGTTGTCTTTCTCCCTTCACAGAAAGGTGCTGGATATCACCTGGATTTGTTCTGGGTGGCCATTCTGATGATCGTGTGCTCCTTTATGGGTCTGCCCTGGTACGTTGCTGCTACCGTCATCTCCATCGCTCACATTGACAGCTTGAAGATGGAGACGGAAACTTCAGCCCCTGGAGAACAGCCCAAGTTTTTGGGAGTGAGGTACGTCCAACCAGAAGGGCCTTAATTGCCTTGTTTGCCTGCAGAGATCAGTTGGCACTATAAATGGTCTTGCTTCGAGCAGGACGCGCGCAGAGGTTCAGGGGGAATAGCTCTTAGATTTGCTGTAAAACTTCAGGCCAGCTTTTGTTTTTGTCCATGGAGGATGTATCCAGTGAGAAGCTGATCTGGCCTTAGCCCTTTTGCAAATACCCTTTCTTGAAAAGGAAGAAAACCGATGCGCTGTGTGCGTTGCCCGTAGACGGGGAAGAGTCTGTGCCAAGGGAGGAGAGGAAGGAAACTTCTCCCCAGGGCTTAGACCTTTTCTTGATCTGCTTGGGCTGTGCACATTGAAGTCACCCCAAAACACACAGGGCTTCCCAGAGTGAGCTCCGGTGCCCATGGGACCCGGCAAAGTTGTCGAGAAGAATTTTGTGCTGCTTTCTTCGTATTTCCAAACCCTGCTGAGAGATTCAGTCTCTCAGCAACGCCTTGGACAAATCCCCGTGTAACTCCTCAAAAGCTTATTCCACCCGATCAGACGTGGTTTCTCCACGTTTGAGAAATCTGCAGAAAATTTATCGCCTTTCTTTATCCGTGGAAATTAAACCAGGCATTTGTTAGCAAACATAATGGTACAAAAAACCCTAAACCCATCATGCCTAAAGCAATCAGCTCTACTTAATCAAGCAAATTTTTTTTCTGTGTTTGTTTGCCTTAATTAAGTGGTCTGAAGTGCTTTCAACAGGAGCACTTCTGGAAATCAGGCCGTTCGTGTGGGCGAACTAAATAAAAATATAATGGCCAAGATTTCAGCGCTCTGAAATATGACTGGGGAGTCGTTTTCGAAAGTATTTTGGGCTGTGGGTGCCGATGAAGGCACGTGTTTGGCACCCCACGAAGGCCATTTTTCCCAACTGCTGGAGTGCTGTGAGCAGGACTGGAAATAGGCTGCTGGTCTGAGAGTGGAGAGACTGTGATTTATTGCCTCCTTGGGAGCTGCAAATACCGCCGGGCAGAGAATCTGGATCGCTGGCTAACGGTTTCTAGTGTTTAACATGTAAACACACCCCTGACTCAGTAGCAAGGCTCTGTTGATCCACAAACAAAGGAGCTGACAACGCTGATCTGGGGGTTAAAAAAGAGATTTACGAGGCTGGGTCAGGATGGTGGTAACCTGCCTGGTGCTGCGGGTTTGTAACCACCGCTCTGCCTTGAAAATGGGGTGCAAAAGCGGGTTTTCTGCTGGTTTTGAGTACTCCAGGAGGCAATAAAGTCAGAGTGAAGGCTGAAGCTGTGCTGCTCACCCGGTGGTTTTGTTGCAGGGAGCAGAGAGTCACCGGGGTCATCGTTTTCATCCTGACTGGGGTGTCTGTCTTCATGGCGCCCATCCTGAAGGTAAGGACGTCATCTTCCCTGCTTCCCCTGGCTCACCCAGCCCAAGCAGGGCCACAGCAACCCTCAGGCTGGTTTTATGCTGCTAAAAAAGCTCATTTTTAGCTTTTTTAGTGGAAAAAGAGAGTGTGGAAAAGGAGATTAGTGAGAATTACTCAAGCAGTTTTACAATTTTCTGGAAGCTTCCTTTTGGAAGGAAAAAATAGCATCATTGTAGCATGCTAGGTCGTGACGAAGTTCCGGGCTGGTGATCTTGGTGATCTGGGCTGTGATATTTTTTCTTTCATTTGAAGATTTTTTTCTTTTCCATGTTTGCATAAAGTTAAGTTTCCTTTTATTTTGCTCTCTTATCCTTCTGCTGTGCCTGTGTTTTATGGGATATGTGTTGTGGATAAAGCTCGGGATCTTGCTGGTGGCACGACGGAGGGATGGTGGGCAATGCAGCAGAGGTGCTGTGAGGAAGACAGGGATTAACAGATGGATTCATAGTTTTAAAAGCAAATAAATTTGCATTTATTTGAGTGTGCACGCATCTTGTGCATACCTGAAGAAAACCTTCGCTTGGTGCTTACTCACGGGCTGTGGGCATGACCCACTGAGAGAAGGTGGGGTTTTTTTTGATGAGAGAGAATATTCAGAACCGGTGGTGATGAGCAGAGCCTACTGCTGATGGTGTTAGTCCAGGGGTACTCTTTTGGCCAAAAATTTTTGGGATTTGGACCGCTGCCACTGCCATAGCGGAGCTGTACCCTGCCAAGCAGGGTGCCTGCAGCTTGCCTGGCTTTTTGTGAAACAGCCAGCACAACAATCAAATTTTGACTCTCTTGGGCTGGATCCTTCTTAAATAGCAATATCCCTTATCGCTTGGAAGCGAAATGTGTTTCTGGAGGAAGCAGCGCAGTTAAATGAGATTTCTTAATCTCCTGAATTCTCTTTTCTCGTGAGTTTAGCCAAGGCTCTGGATGGATGTGCTGCTGATGCACCATTTAGGTAGGTAGCTATTTTTCCAAGACCTGAAATTTCTTGGTACGTGGCCACCGAGAAATGGATCCTTAGGGGATCATCACATCAGAGAACGCAACTGGAAAACCTGCTTATCCATATTTTTTGGAGGATACTGCCTCCAAAACCCTCCAGGGGTTCCAGCGGTGCCAAGAGCAGGCATATTGTACAACAGGAGATGTCAGCTGCAGAAGTCCATCTCCATGGATCCGTAGACCGATGGTACCAGCAGAAGATGTCAAAATGATAGAATCATTCAGGTTGGAGAAGACCCTTGGGATCATCGAGTCCAACCATCAACCCCACTCTACAAAGTTCTCCCCTACACCATATCCCCCAACACCACATCTAAACGACTCTTAAACACTTTCGGGGATGGTGACTCAACCACCTCCCTGGGCACCCTATTCCAGTGCCTGACCACTCTTTCTGTGAGGAATTGTTTCCTCATGTCCAGTCTAAACCTACCCTGTTGCAGCTTGAAGCCATTCCCTCAGATGGTGACACATGTACCGAAACCGTGGCACCATGCATCATAATGCTGCGATGGAGCAGACAGGGGTCTGGAGAAGCTTTTCTGGAGGAGGCCACTGAGATTTTGGTCACAAGGAGGTTGGAAGCCACCAGGGCTGTAAGGCATGGTGAGATGTGAGCCTGAAGGGGAGGAGGCAGAGAGCAATGACGTATAAAGTGGAGAAAGTGGCTTTTACACGTCAAGTGTGTCCCTACTCTTGATTTCTGAGGTTGTTTTTACAACCAGCAACTTATTGTGTCTTGGTAACAGCTTCCTCCTCTGCGCAAACAGGCATTTCCGTGCCCTTAATTTAATGCCTGATTGCAGTAATTCTGTTTGGTGGTTCATGTGACCTTTCCCTGCGAGATCTCCCTTCCTCTATTCCGCTGGGGTCTATTATTTCCCCTGTTATTGCTCCAGTCATTAATTATTTGCCTGCGCTTCCCCCAAGAGCGCGTGCGGGGAAGATGCTGGCGGGAGGACGCCTGAGGATAACTCGGCACGCTTCTCGCCCACGTGCCAGCCAGAGAAGTCCCTGGCAGCCATTCAGGACCTTTAACAAACTCCAGTGGCAGGGTCTCCTGCTCCAGAGAGCTTTGCTTGGCTTAAACGCCCGGCGGAACGTTGAAGTCTTCTCCTGCCAGCGGCAAACAGAACGCTCCCCATCAAAAATTCGATAAAAGAGGCAATCCGCCGCCTAATCCCATCTGTGGTTTTTGTGGGTTTTTTGCCGTGTCCGTGCTGGTTTCGAACGCCGCTGGTGTTTCGACTCAGCTGTGGCAGATCTCCACAGAAACATCCCCGGCCCCTGCTAGGAGAAGGCCGGGCGCTTGCCTATAAATACATTTTTAATTCCGTTGGCTGGCGGGAGGTTTGCTCGGGGTGCCCAAGCCAGCAGCCCCGTCGTCAGCCGCCACTTTGCCAAAAGAAAGTCTTCCCAAAGGCGAGCGGCGCTCACAGCTCTGCAGGGGAACGTACTCAGGTTCCACCTAGGGGTGATTTACAGGATTAATCATCGTGGAATGGTGAAATGATATTTGGACACGGGGGTTTTTTTGGGTGTTTTTGTTTGTTTGTTTGTTTTTTGAAAAACAGAAAGAAATATAAGGGGAAGGAAAGAGACAAATGGAGTATACCTGGAGTATTGTGTGCAGGTCTGGAGCCCTCAATATAAGAAGGACATGGACCTGATGGAGAGGGTCCAGAGGAGGGCCACAAGGATGATC